ACGTACCTACGTGCATATGTACGCGCGGGACACCCCGTATATGTATGTAGGCCGCACACAACGCACGCCACGCGAAGTCTCTCTCCTATTCCCCAACCCCGCAGGGCTCTTCGTCCCTCTTACCCTCCCTTTCTCTCTCTCTCTCTCTCTCTCCTGGCGGGCTCTAAACCCTCGTTCTCTCCATCACGTAGACGTAGTAACGGGGTGTTCAGTGGGAACCGGCTTTCTGTTACGACGCACACACGCCGCTTCGCAACAACTGTTACGTACGTGTCTCGCGTACGTACAGGGTGGTACGGAAGGGTAGTAGAGCGCGCGCGAAACGACGACGACGCTCCGCGTGAGAAAGGAAAATTCGTAGTCGCATCACACACACACACACACGTGTATATACGTGTGTGCCACGAGGTAAAAATCTCTTCGAGCGGAGGGAGGGTGGAAGGCGGCATTCGACAGGCCAATTCCGTCCAATTTCCAAAGCGATACTTCCGCCCCTCGCGCGCAAATTGAATTCGAGGCTTAATTACGCGAGGCGCACCGCGACGCGCTCCGTGAAAATTAGGACCGCTTCTCGGTGTTGTCCGAGAATTAAAATCGCGGGGAAGAGGGGAGGAGGGGTAATAAGTCTTTCGGCGACACCGAGTGAGAGAGAGAGAGAGCCCATGTCGGAGGTCCGTGAATCGCGAATTCTTCCGTCCGAAAATAACCGAACAGTCAGTCATTGATGTCCTCTGCCATCCCTCCTCCCTTCTCACCATCCCTCTCTCCCTCTCGCCGTGTAACGGGGCTGATATATTTTATACATGCCGAGATGCACCCGCGAATATTCGGGGATTGTTATCCGTCGCGCGGATAACGGTGGAGTTGGTCTCCCGTGTGACACGCGTCGTATGCAATATTCAGGGGAAGAAAGGTTGCGCCGAGGTCGATAGATTTCGCGCCCGGCATTCGGCAGGAAAGTTTATTTTCTGCGGATTATTAAAATTAACGAAACTTTCCGTACTCCTGATGCATTGCGAAGCTGCTCGTTAGAAAACGAGCGTTTCACACGTCGCATTCGCCGCGAAACGGCTATAGTTATATAAGAAGCATCCAATTCCGCAAAATTATGATCTTTGCGATTTTGTTGCGCGGAGGAAATATTGTAGCAAAAATCACCGCGAAATTGTGCAATGTTGTACCGTTATCACGTGTGTGTTGTAATCTTTAGTGATGCGTACGACGGAGTACGTCACTAAAGATCGCAACGTGACAATTGCAATTATAATTCCGGTATGATCCAACGTTACAAAATTCTGTGGTAATTTTTCTACAGAATACTTTCTTCGTGTATAAGTAAATAGTCTATATGCCTTTCTATATAAAATAAAAAGATCCTTATAAGCATCTAAATTGATCCGAAAACACATTTTATTTTCTACTTTTAATTACTTTCCACCAGTTACGTCTTATTCGCCCATTTTTCAAGAGTTAAGCTTGTCAATGAACACTATTGAAGAGGAGAAAATGGGCCACGCTTGACTTCTTGAATGATAATGACGAGCCTCGGTGCTATTTGTACTTTTCAAACCGCGTATCAAATTTTCATCCTCACTTGGCGCGAAACACACTTCATGTGGGTTAGATCTTTTTTACATAACTATGGCCAAATATACTCGCGCTCGACACCGTGTCACTTCGGTTTCGTCGAAGCACTCACTTCCCTCGACAACTGTCAGCGTGGCCAGGACGATCATGAACGTTCCGAGAATTCGGAACGAGGACAACGAAGATGAACGTCGCGCTTAATCGGATTAAACGTGCAATATTGAGAGCGCGACGATTTATGATTTATATATATATATATATATATATATATATATATATATATATATATATAT